GGTGACGTGCTGCCCATTTCTTGTGCTGAAGAATGCAATGCCTTTCTTTCTTGTTCCTCTTGAGTGGCCCCTTAAGCCCACACAACCCTTTTGTAGGTGGAGATTCAAAGTCCCAGCAGTAAACTAGGAAACGGAATTTAAACAAATAAAAAAAGTTTTTGTGCCTCGCCCAGATGGTCAGTCTCTTGGCACGCTCTCGGTTGGTCAGATTCCCAGCGCTGATGTCACAGGGGTCAGACTGTCACGGAGAGATCAGCCTCGCCTTCTGATTGGCCAACTCTCGGTGTTGCCAAGGAGATCTCCTAATTTAGGACGATTTGCATTGGTTTTACAAACACACAGGCAGACAGTTGGGAGGTTGCACAATAACCTCTCCCTGTGATCATGTTGCCTTTGGCCTTCGTACAATCTCATGCATGTGAATGGAACACCTGTCTGTGCGCAGGTGAGAAAATGTCATTGCTTTAAAAACCCCTTTGCCTGTTAATGCTACTCCTTGGAGAAATCTGATCTTCACATCTTTAGGCATGAGGACTTGCTTATTTTAAATTTGCCTGTCTGCATGTTGTAAGGAAGCAGGCAAAAACACTGTATCGACAAAAATGGTCACTTTGCAGTGTCTGTCCTGTTATTAACAGAAACCAAACAGTTCTTCTGGAAAGCTGTGATTGTAGAATGTCTTCTCGAAACCTGTCTTATCCTCATGCGGTCTGGCACACCAGACAGTGGGAGAAAAATGCTCTGAATGTGGCTGTGGGTGTCAGGATTTAGTCATGACGATCCCATACGGAACGTGAGCTGAGGCCGATCTGGAAAGGCGTTCTCAAGAGGTGCTCTTGACCGAGCAGCGCACTCTGGTCTTTTTGTTTAAAAAAAAAAACATTTTGCATTTTCAAGGAGCAAAATGTGTAGACGGGTTATGTATACAAAATTGCTCTTTCGTGGAGGTCCTAGTGTGATAATCTGGGTGCTCGGACGTCCTGCTGTCATGACTGGTAGCAGCCTGACTGCAGGGTGCTGCTCTGATGAAGTCTTCCTGTGGGTCCATCCTGACGAGACAACGGTCCAGCAGGACAGGGCTTCAGTCTTCGTGCTGCGTGAGGTTGGCAGCCGTGTCGATGATGCCCTGTTGGCAAAGCTTGAGCCCCATCGGACACTTGAAGCCTAAGCCGGGGATGAAGTGGGTTCAGAGACCAGTGCTTGTTCGGGCCCTATGAGAGAAATGAGACCGAATCGTCAAGAGGATCTGCAACCTGGTGCAAAGCATGAATCGGAGGTGCAGCTTGTGGTGCTTCCAGTGGTGGGCAGGCACGTTTCACAACGGAACTCCCCGCTCCCCCAACAGGGTGGATGGCGAGTCTTAGTCAGCGTGATGATTTCAGCTGTGTCAGTGCACTTGCTTCATGAGAAGATGTTCTCGATAACCGTGGATAGGTGGCCATCGCAAGTGATGACGCTCGTGGTATTTGAGCTTCTTTTGCGTTTTCTTTCGCTCCTTTCACCCCCGCTGGGTCCAGACCAGGACCAGCTCTGAAACTTGGACGTTTGCTGTGGCCGGGTCGGGCGTCATCGTGATTGGAGCTGAGGCCGTGTCTGTGCTCTCCTCTGCCGCCGTTATCAAGGGAACAGGAACAATGTCTGTCTCAGCCAGCACTCCCCTCCCCTCCCCTGCTGGCTCCAGTTCCAGGGTGTGTGTGTGTGTGCGTGCGCGCACTACTGTTGTATCGGCAGCAACCGCGGTCTCTGGCCTCCCGTTTCCGCAGTGTGATCGTGAGGCCAAGCAGATGGGCCTGTCAATAAGGAGCTCTCCCAGCTGTGGGGGCTGGAAGCCATGTGTCTGCAGGAATCCGATGCCTCTTTTCTCTTTGTCTTCTCGGTGAGCCGCCCTGTGGTTCGCTGCCAGTCCATTAAGCCATCTGCTGCCCATTGCTTCCCGCAGGCGTGTGTGTGATCCCTGCGTTTTCCAGCATACTGGCAGGCAGGACACCTTCCGTTCAAGTTCCGGACTTTCCAAACTGTAGACGGAGCACAAGGAGCTGCGACCACTTGTAGTTTTGCTTGGCAATAGGATTCTCCTTGCATGTGATTACAATGACAAACGAGAGGAGGCCTTGGTTTCTCATTGGGCAGATGGCAGCTTATCTGAGCTACCTGGTACCATGCTTTACCTTATCCTGCTGCTCCTTGAAGGCTCCCAGGTGGTCACCTTCCTCAACATGGCCAGGGCTCTCTGTGCTAGCTGCCCACTGAACCCTTGTATAAAGACATTGTTCCCAAATGCAGCCAGCTCTGTGTCTTTGTTCTTAATCTCCCCATCGAGGCTCGACGCAGCCATTCTCGTGAACGGCCTCCAGATGCTTTCAGGGGTTTTTGAACACCCGACTCAAGTGCTCACCAGCTCTCGCCGTCCTTGTTTCAAGATGGAGCTGACCTGGCGGTTGTGCCCCAGCTGGGAGACCTCGGTGCGGCGAGAGATTGAAATGGCGCTGTGGCCCGTTTGAACTCGGGGAGAAGAGAGTTTGGGAGGGTTGTAATCAAGTTGGTCACACAAGGGGGCGTCCTGCCTTCGGACTCCTGCACGTGCCCACCCAGTCACCTGTCCCCACCCACGCAGCCTGGAGCGAGTCCCACTGAAGTCTCTCATCTCCAAAAGGTCCTGATCCTCTGGAATGCAGTGTGAACAATCCAGAGTTTCCTGCTCTGCAGTCCTGGAAGCAGGTTTGCTTAAAGCCTCCTGCACTTTGCTTTAAAAACTCTGCACGGTGATCGTCAGTGATCCTCGATCTGGCTGGATGAGAGTAGGAGGTGGGGAGGTGCTGTTCTATACAGGACCTGTGACCTTAAAACGCTTTTGGATTGAGTAGAAATGTCAGCATTTCTCCAGCCAGCTCCACTGCTTATGACATATTTTCTCCTTATTTTTAAAATGATCAGTTTCGTGGCACAATTATTTTTTTATTTGCACAGCTGGGGTCCAATTCAAGTTTTTCCTCCACGTGATTTTGAACAAATGCAGTAGGTATGGCCATTCGAGATGCCACTGAGTTCAGGCGCATCGAGATCAACCTGCGTCGCAGGGCGATTGCACTTAAAGGTGCAGACCAGAAGTACATAGCTCAGAAACCACAGTGCAGCTGGGAAATCGGCTCTGTTACTGCTCTCGTCTCCTGTGTTGCTGTGCTGCGTCTGGGGTTTGAAATGTAGCAGTGTTTTACGTTGCACGGGCCTTTAGTACAGCGCACCCAGCCTGAGTAAGCCGAGATGGTATCGATAAATAATTAATGACTGCCTGAAACGAAAAGTGACTCTCAGTCTCGCAACGCTTGTACACAGAGATGCATTTACTCGACACGAGCAGGGGATTTAATTTCTCATTAAGGTAGATGAGGGCTCTTGGAAAGCCCAGTGGTGTTTTAGGTCATCAATAGGATTGTGTCTCACAGGTCTCTGGTCCTGGGAGTTTGCATGTTTCCCTATGCCAGTGATAATGTGTGTCTCTGAACTGCCCCTGGGTGTGAGTGCCCTGTGGGAGACTGGAGTCCTCTCCACAGTTCTCCCTGGATTGGCCCCCTGTTGCCATGACCCTCACCAGGAATAAGTGGATTTGTGACAACGGATTGATGGAAATCTAGAATTATTACCAGTACTGATCAATAAAACCACACCTAGTCTTCAGTTGGTAAGATGTCCACCAGTCCTCCAACACTCTCCATGACCCTGTGTAAGTGAAACAAGCATGAAAGAGGGCGGACGAGGTCTGGACCGTGTTTATATGTGGCACACAAAGATAACTGCACCTGTCTGAAGACGGAAGAACAGACTCCTCAATATCCCTTCTGCCTGCAGGCAAGCTGGAATTACTATCCTGAAAAATTCATGGGACTGCTCGCACCTTCACTGCGCTTATCGATCGGCGGGGCGGTGCTAAATGATTTATGAGTCTAGGCCCCGCTGTTCGCACCTGAAGGAACAGCGTGCTCAACAAACACGTGGGCCTGAGCTTACCCTGAGCCCCTGTACAGACAGCACCAGCCTTCCCAGGTGGGAGAAACCACACTAAACGCTCTCTGGTGACAGGGGATTGCTTTTAACTGGAATAAAGCTGGTGTGATTGTGACTGCCCCCTCCTCCACAGACACACACACAGTGGTGGAGCAGGATCGGCCCTGGGAATGGGGGAAAGGGAAGCCGTTTCGGATTGTGTGGCTTGCCGGAGGGCAGGCTGAAAGGAGTCTTGGTCCACCCAGCCATTTTCCTACCGCTTTTTCCCCCAATTCCAGAGTCGCGAGAGAGCCGGAGCTAATCCCGGCCAGGCATGGGCGCAAGGCAGGGTAAACCCTGGGTGGGACGCCAGTCCATTGCAGGACACACACACACATGCACACAGACACGGTTAACCTACCAGTATGTCCATGGGCCGGGGCAGCCTGTTTGAAAACTGCCCGATACCCGAGGTGTAGCTGTGCCTCGTCATGGAATAGTCTAGGGGAACTGCCTCTTTCCGTGAAGAGGTCTGTGCCAGTGTGCCTTATCAGCCATTCACAGAAATGACGCACGCACACACTCGGTGAGCAGGCCCTGGCGGTTTGTAAGAGGCCGCCAGATCTCCAGCGCCTTCCTCTTTCCTGAGGATGTGAGCGCTCTGGCTGAGCAGAGAACCTGTCTCACTCATCGCGTTTTTTATTTCCCTCGCTCCAGCCTGAGCTGTCTGGTCAGGGTCTAGGAAGCGCCTGTTGGCTTTCAGAGGGCCCTGATATTCGCTCCTGGTCCTGGAAGGGACGCTGCGTCCGAGAGTATTTGGACCACCCTGGACTTTTAATAACTCGATTTGAATCATTCGTTGGTGGAATTGGTCTTGGTCATTGCTGCTGACAGTGGCTGGATCAGTGCTGCCTCTTGACGGTTGTAAGTTAGCTATAGAAGCTGGTGGACAGGTGACCGGAGCACGAACACGACTGATCAATCTGTGGGGTCTTTTTTTTTTTTCCTCTTTCTTGCAGCGATCAAGGTGAACTGCATGGGGTCGTGCGGCGTGTCCACCAAGATGAACGACTCGTCCTGGGCCGTGGAGGAGCAGTACTTCAACAGCACGCTGTCTGTGGCCAACAAAGGTCAGCCGGGGGCTCTCCTCGTGGGCTGGCTGGGCCGGGGGGGCTGGGCTGGGGCTTGAGTAGTGAGCAGGTGAGAGCCGGCTGGCCGGGGCCTCTCTC